AGCACACTAGTTACTTTCCTAAATGAGTTTAGCCCAAAGGTCGAAAACTGGTCGCAAGTTGGCTGCATCCAGCCCACAGATGGGTTTCATTTGTTCCACAGTGTTGGCCTACACAGCATATTTTAAGGAACTGAAATCTGTGGCCAGTACCAAAAACCAGGAGACATTACATCAAAACCTGCTTTCCTGTTTCTTCTTACAGAGTAAAAATCTGATAACTCTTGGGTTCTATGTGCATGGAAGTGTAGCCAGAACAGGCCTGACGCTGCCCCTAGCTCAGGGGAAGTGGCCTCAAGAGCATCCTCTGCCAGCTCACTACTTTCATTTATCTGACCCATGTGGGCCCCAAAGTTACCTGAGTTTGTTTAAAATATGAAAAGAGATGCAGGTTGCAAAGTCCTCCTTATTGGGCTTTTCCCAAAGCAATCCAAAGGAGATGAGCAAGGGAACATCATCACATCCCTGATTAGAGGTAAAAGATCAGGAAAGCAAAAGAAACGAGGAAGTGCACAACTCAGCCTCATTTGGACTTCTGCTCTAGGACACTCGCTTTGTGAATAACCGTCTCCACTTTTATTATTTCATATATTCTCCCAACAAGCCTATAGAGAAGAAATGACTGTCTGACAAACTGAGCCTGAGTGATGTCATATAACCTGTGCACTGGAGGTCACTTGGCCAGGAGGTTGCAATGTCTTATGCGAACTCAGTTTTCTCTAGAGTGATGAATGGATGCTGTGATTCCCCCTCAGGGCCTTCGCACTCTTCCCTCTGCTGAGAACATCTTCAACTGGTTCTGTGTCTTACCAATTCACTCTATTTACATAATTCCCAACAAGAGATCACCTCAAAATAGCACACTTGCATGTACAAACAGCTATGAGAGTGCACACACAAGCACACACAAACGTGTATGCAAACATTTGCACATCAATGATCTCAAAGTAAGTTCTAAGATTAAGTGGCAACAATGGCATCTAGGTCATCCTAGAAACTCAGAAGCCCCGAGCCTTGTCCCACCCTCCCCACCTCAGATCTCCTCCAATCCCGACACACACAAGACCTGTAGCATCACAATCCAAGTGAACAAAGATCTCTAGGTATACTTAACATTTAAAAGCTCGACACTGCACAAAGGCCACCCAATAGACCTACAAATCCCTCACAGATATTCTATTACATTCTCTAATAGCCACTTTTAAAGGGTAAAAAGAAGTGAAATTGGGGGGTTGAGGCTCTAGCTCGGTAGTGGAACACACATGGGAGACCATGGCTTTAGCCTTCTAGAAGTGCCAACAACAACAACAAAGCATGGAATTAATTTAATACTGTTCATTATTAACCTCGGTATTAATGCTAGGGTTTCTATATGCCATGAGTAGAAAATTACTGTTGAGCAACTTTTCATTCTGCATATTTATGCTTCTGCCGGATTCCAATCTGGTCACTTGAGCTGTACCAGTCATTAGCATGTGGTTGGTTAGTTGAGTTTTCCTTACTTCCTTCATCAAAGCAAAATGTTCACTACACACTGTTTGGTTTGCTTATTTGCTGTCTGCCTACCTTCTTACTCCACTGACGTTTGCGTGAGGATGGGGCTCCATCCACCTCACGTTTCACCCTATCCTCCATTCCTGAAACAGCACCGAGTGCACACTCAGTAGTCGCTACGCATTTCTCAGAGGTAAGAATTGAAAAGGCAGCTGCCCTTAGCATTAGTGAGTGGCAATGTGGTGTAGGCAAAGAAACAAAGCAACTGGACAGACGCAGGTTTGACTCTCAGCTCAGACAGCAACCAAACCAAGGACCTTGAGCCAGTCACTTACCTCCAGGAATAAAGAAAACGTGGTCATAAAACAGAACCACTGCTGTTTACCCCACAGCATAATCTCAACGCTGCAGTGAATAACACATCTATAGAGTGCCAGCCGGCAATATGGCTGGCATTCCATAAATACCGGCATCTCATGTCCCTGGTCCTTTCTCCAGACACCAGCTAAGAGTGTTGCTGCCAACCACTGGGAAACAAGAGCTCAGCATCCTGCAGCATGCAGTGAGTTCTTGGTGTTACTCCACCCTTCCAATAGAACATAGGACCATAGACCATCACCTTGAAGCTAAGTGGTTTCTAAAGCAAAATGTCATGGTCACTATACATGCAAGTCACAGAAGAGGCAAGTGCTTCCGTCTCTATGTCATTATGATGAGTTCTGTAGCCAGGGGTCTGCCCCCAAAATCCCATCCCATAGAAGGGTTCAAGATTTCTGCCAGGATCACTGTATCATTCTTATGAAATTTGCTTATGATTTTGCCTTTTTGGAGAAAGGAAAAGAAAAGCAGAAGAAGAGGGCTTGATCCACCAGGCTAATACCATCAGCTGGGTCAGTCCACCACTAAGGCTAAGCATCTCTACAGCCTGAATACACACATCCTAATCCATTAGTCCAGTGCTGCCCTGAAAATCGAATGTACATCTTCTAATCTTTGAAGTGTTTTTACATCCCATTAGATTGACAGCATAGGTACAAAGGAAAACCCAGATTTAGGGATAACTCGAGTGATGCCACAGAAATGAACCTGCTAAAGCTGATTTGTTAGCTAGGAGAGAAGCCCGAGCCAGTCGCATTGACAGCAGCAGTTTCTACCACTGGTTTGAATTGAAGCCACTATTCACATTTCTACATTAGGATGTGTTTATCATTCCTTCTTCCAACATGGGAGAGAGGCTCAGAGCAAGCACGAAAAGACAAAACTAATGAAGTCTCACAAATGTCTTCAAAGTATGGCTGTCAGCAATGAGGCCGGGAAGCTCACTGGGCTCCTGTGGTCCCCAGGAGCTTCCTGGAGTCTTTCAATCAGCCATGTTCCAGTGGCTAATGAAACCTGTGTTGTTAGATAGTCACTCACTTCCATGAGGCTTGCTCTTAAAGAGAGTCTCTGCCTCACCTCTAATTGGCATCACTCAGCCTTGTGATTCCATAGGACAAGGGGATAAGGGTCAGGGGTTGAGGACCAAGAGATACCAAATGCTCCTTTTACCTGGGCCCAAGGACCCTGTTCTAGATGTACCATTTGTGTTTAACAACTCTAAGGGCTAACAAATACCAAGCCACGCATGCCACAAGTATTGGCTGGGATCAGGAGGCTGGGGGTCTCGCTCCACCTCACACCTTCAGTAGCCATGTTTTGACAGTGAGGTAGCTTATGTATCTCCTCATCCTGGCATCAATTGAAAAGATCCTAAGAAATCTATCATCTCTTTCCTTTCATTTAGAAAACTCTCCAGAGCCCAGGATAGGGTCTTCCCGGCTCAAGCATTCCCATCAACTTCATTGGCCATCCAAATAAAGCACTTCTTTCTGAAGCACCACTGCAGCAAAGCCACCCAAAACACATGCTGCAAGATTTGATCTTTTACCTCTCTTAAAGGGCATCTGACACTTCCCACAAGATGCACAGCTTTAAAATTAGAACCGGGAGGTGGGGTGCCCACAGTTACCCTCCGATGGCTAAAGCTACCCCACAGAAGAAATCAGGACATTCCTGTAGCTCAGCAGTAAACAGCTGAACCCTTCTCAGACATCTTCCCCTGTCTTTATTTTGCTGTTGTTGCATTAATCATCCTAACACCTTTTTAATTATAATCACAAACTGGAAGCCATGGCTTGTGATGTTATAAATAAGGAATTTTTCCAGTTAAATTAGGCACTTGCTGTTTTATGTTTTGATAGGAAGGGACTGTTTGAAGCCTCCTAAAATATCCCAATTAGTTCTTGCTGTTGAAACAGACAAGACATTAACAGACACATTCCCTGTCTCAGTGTGATGTGCTGGAATGTTTATGGCTCAGTGTACTTCTCTGCAGCTTTTAAGGCACAAGGCAGTTTAAAAAAAAAAGTGGGAGAAACCAGTCACAACACACATGCTTATTACATATTCCCAAAGTAATGGCCAAAACTTTTCCCAGCTGTAATCTAAACCCAGGAAGCATGCCTCTTAGACAGGAAAGCAATCCTGTCACAGAACAATTTTACCTATTGGCTCTGTGGAACTGATAGTATCACTTCAGCTGACAAGGGCTCTGTTTCTGTTTGACAGTTGCAATTAATTATTGAAATGTGATCGAGATGGGGCCACCCGTCCAGATCTGTTATCCAGAAAGATATGAAGCAGTAGGAAAGGGGGGAGGTAGAAGAAGAGAGAAAGGGGCTTGCATTCTGAGCATGTGCATGCACCAATGTTGTTTTAATGTCAGGTTTGGCAAGAAAGACAGATAATAGCTATCTGACCTGCACTTAACTTTCTCCTGTTTCCTTCCTCGAAGTACCAACACCTGATGGTGTCAGAAAGAAGTATATAACTCCCCACAGAAGTAACTCCAGTCTGTCTCCAAGGATGCTCAAATTAGAAAGATCTCTGCACAGGGCACAGATACTCTTAGAGCACCAACTGGTATCTAGACACCTAGGCTCCTGATACTAAATCAACCCAGTGTTCATTCAGCCAAGAGGGACAGAAAGTTACAGATGTAGGAAACAGCCTACCTTTACTATAAAACCAAAGCGCCTACACCGTCTGTTTTTTTTTTTTAAAACTGTTCATTTTGCTCTGACCTTAAAACACTGAAGTTGGATTCCAGCCACGCAAACGCTTTTGAGGGCGCTTTTGATTGATTCCTGGGGATCTCAAAGCCCGTCGTCAATTTAGCTCCCCTGTCTCATTCCTCCGCTTGTTCTCAACCTAGAAACCCAGAGCCCTGGGAAACACCCGGCGGACAGACGGGAGAGCTGGGGATTCCCAGATTTGGAGCCCGGTAGTTCTACAAGGCACCTGCTCCTCCCCTTTCCCTGAAATAAAGTGATCTTTTAGCTGGAGTCCTGTTCTCTCCGCCGCACAGGGACTCTGCGCAACCAGGCCAGGGCTCCCACTGCCCTCCCATGGATGCCCGGGCTTTGGGCTCTCGGGACCCCTCACGCGTCCTGCACTTCGCAGCCTCCTACCTGTACCACTCCAGCCCCTTCTCGTAGTTCCTGTCGAAAAAGTGCGGCTCTACGCCCACTGCTCTTACGTCCGGGTGGACTCGGATAGCCTCCAGCAGCGCGCGCGTCCCTCCTTTCTTGACCCCGATGATCAGCGCCTGGGGCAGCTTCTTCTCCCCATAATCAGGGGTGCTGGCGGGGCCTCGTTCAGCACTCCCATTGGCCGCCCTCCGGCCTTCCAGCTCCTCGGCGGCGGAGGCGCCTGGCTCCTGCGCCCCGCGCCCCAACAGCGCGTCCTGCTCCGTGACCGCGTCTCCGGGGGCAGGCGGGCTCCTGGGCCAGGCGTCCCGAGCACCGCCGCCGCTCGCCAGTCCCCAGCCGTCGGCCGCGGGTGTCGTGAAGCGCTCAGGGGGCTCGGGCGGTGGCCCGCGGCTAGCGTTGTCCGGCGACGGTGAGGAAGCGCCGGGACGCACGCGGGGAGGCAGCAGCGAGGGAGGCAGCAGGCTCGGCGGGGGCTCCGCGGCGGATCCCGGGGGCTCCTGCAGCGCCAGCGGGAACTGCAGCGAACCCGAGCCGCCCAGCAGGCTGTAGCACAGGTAGGTGACGGACAGGGACAGGGTGCACATGAAGAGCAGCTTGCGCGCCGGCGGCCCCTTAGTGGAGGCTCCGGGCAGCGGCGGCGGCGCGGCGAGCGGCGGCGGGGAAAGAGTGTAGATCTCGGGGGGGGGCGGGTCGGTAGAATGGGGGGGGGGGGGGGG